GGAGTTCGACCACTAACACCGTGACACGAGATTTTTATATATTAGATTTTTTTGTATAGGGATACCCTAATCACCAAGTTGCAGTGCTCTGTCGTGAACTCTGCCAGAGGTATGCAGTTTGAAAACTTAGGTTTGTATGAGAGATGGCAAGGGGCTTTTTTCCAATCGCCCCAATTTTTCGTCATGACTGTGTGATTGATTTCATATACATACCTCCATACCATGTTCGAGTACTCTACCATGAACACTTTCAGAGATATGCAGTATAAAAAATTCGGTTTGTATGGGAAGTGCCACGCCTCCTTTTCCAATAACCACAATTTTTCTCCATGAGTATGCGATTGATTTCATATATCTCCATACCATGTTCGAGTACTCTACCAAGAACACTTTCAGAGATATGCAGTATGAAAAATTCGGTTGTATGGGAAGTGCCACTCCCCTTTTTCCAATAACCACAATTTTTCTCCATGAGTATGCCATTGGTTTGATATATCTGCATACCAAGTTAGAGTATTCTACCATGAACACTTCTAGAGATATGCGGTATGAAAAATTCGGTTTGTATGGGAGGTGCCACGCCCCTGAACCTAGCGGTATGAAATATACTTTACATCCGATTCTCATACCTACCAAATATACACAAAAAATTTCATAAAGATCGGTCCAGCCGTTTCGGAGGAGTTCGACCACTAACACCGTGACACGAGATTATTATATATTAGATTATTTTTTAGATTTTAATGTTTTAAAAAGAAACATTTATTTTTAATTTCTTAAAATTTTTAAATCTTTTAATCTTTTTATGCTTTTTAATATGGTTTTTTTGTTTCTCTTTAATACATTTTTTTTTTAATTTTTAGTTTTTGTTATTGAAAAAAAGAAATATGCATATATATAATTTTTTTTATTACAATTATTGCTAAAACACAAACAGAATAACACTAAGACCACCTCGTTAAGCAGGTCTTTCAATTAGTCTCTCGAAAGACAGTAGAGGGCTTTGAAGATAGTTGCCAGAGTTGAAAGACTTTTGTCTTTCGAAACACTTTGGTGAGTTGACAGACAGTTGCCACAATTGCCCTGTTAGTTAGTCTTAGATGAGGTTAGAATGGTGGCGGAAAAACTAGTACGCCCAAGTAGCAGCTTAGTGCCATTTTGACACCATATACCTCGAATGAATATTTTATAACCCACCGGCGTGGTTGATGAAGTTGATTATGTAGTGCAGACGTATACCAGATAGCTCTCGTAATGATGTGAATTCATATGCTTCTATCATGGTATTTCTGCTCCCAATTACAGCTGGAAATTTTCAAAGACGGTGTTCTACTGTTTCCTGCTCGTTCTCGTCTCTGCAGCTTCTACAGAAGCCGTTGTAGGCGATTCCCAGCCTTCTTGCGTGGGTACCAACCGGCCAATGCCCAGTAAGAGTCGCTACAACACTTGCAACGACAGATCTGGGTTTACTCAGTAGGTTGTGTGTTCTCTTAGGGTTGTGCATGGGCCACATGAGTTTGGATATACAGCATCCTGCCGCTGTGCGTCACCTTTGATCCGATTTCTGAAGATTGTGGAGAAATATGTCTCTATATAAGGCTCCAATTGTGGGTGAGATCCGGTCCTCGATCGACACCAATGTAGAACCCCCTCTGACTAACTCGTCTGCAGTCTCATTTCCGGAAATGGAATACTAGTTAGTCTTATTTCTGGAATGCTTCGTGGCGTCTGAACGTTCAATATGATCTATAGAGGGTACTTTAACTCACTCAAAAAGAGATCAGCTGCGGACTTGCTAATAACACTGCTAACTATATGAAACTATAATCAAGCCATTTATGTAATTGTCTGGTAGAATTCATTAGAAAAATATATTTAAGCCGTTAAAGCACGTTCAAATGGCTCCCCAAACAACACTTAGTCTATCGCGGGATTCTTTTCTTAACGTGCTAGTTGCGGGTAAGGATAAGTCAGTAGGCTCCGTCGGGGTCATATCTGAAAAAACGAATGGTTACGCACCAAGACTGGCTCCGCTTAGATCCTTCTCTTAACTCCTCCACCTAAGGGGTGAAGAAGAGAGTTGAAGTCTCTGGAACTAGTACAGTTGACATTTTCACGGATCGGCAGAAGTTGATTGGACATTTTTGGTGGATGTATGTTCCTTCAAGAACTCCCCTTAGATCTCATGCAAAGCTGAACTTCATGGCACAGAGACATTGCTGAAAACTGCATGGCCATTTAATTTGCTTACATAAAGGGTATAGGAGTTCCTATGGCAACATGTGGACTGCTCCTGGACAGTCTAGTGTCAACTAACTGACCCCTTGCCAATAATATTCGGTGGCACTCCGAAGTTTTCCAGCATAATTCAGGCCAGAATTTCATTTCCTTTACATACATTTAATACCATCGCGAAGTGTGCTGTCCTCAAGTGCAACAAACAGCTAAATAATAAAAAAAAACTAACATTTTTTACTCAGTAAAATTCTCAAATTACATTAGCAAAGAGAAAAATGCATCGAAAACTGCATACGGGCATTGGGCGGCACATGTTGAGCTCACTTCGATCTCTCCCATAGGGGATGTTTTGCGCATGCGCAAACACATAAATAAATATCCAGCGTAGCCAGTAACAGAACATCATTCGTAGCATTGCATTTATGCAAGTAACTACAAATCATACAAAAAATCCTCATTAATTTTTTTGAAAAAATCATTTAGTTATACGAAACGCCAAAAAAATGTTCTATGCTGCGCCCCTGAACACTTGCAGCGCCAATACTTTGGCAGAGCAAACTATCGCCAAGCCAAATTACACGCCAGGCAAGGCACCGTAGAAGGCCTACAAAGTATTACGCCGGGTTTACAAGTCATCAACAATAGGCAAAGTAGTACTCACCGACGAGCCGCATATCTCAGCGCAGAGTTGGCTTAAAATGGCAATAAAGCAGCAGTGCCGCAAAGCTGAAGCGTAATCTGATATCAACGAAAGTGCACTCACCACATGCTCAGCAGAGTTGGCTGAGTCGAAGGCTGTCGCGGACAAGGCAATCAGTGCTGAGTAATTGGTCGGATTTTGCTTTTCATCAATTTACTGATATTCTACTGGCAAGCCGCTAGTGCCTTCAAGGACCTGGTTCGTCCATAAACCGCACCGCTTACATTGTAACGAGATACGCTTTATAAGCGTCGCAGCTTTAATAGTTTATAAATAAGAGCGTATGTACGCCTGTGATGTAGTTGAATTGCCAAAAATTCGTTCGTCGATGCAGTTTAGAGCCATTTTAAGCAAATAACATCAAATACTTGTAAATATGGCCGGCCGCTGTGGTGTAGTGGTAAGCAGTGCGCGCTTTCACACATCAGCACCTGGGTTCAAGCCCTGGTCAAAGCAACATCCCAAAAAATATAGAAAAAGGTTTTTTCTTAACAGCGGTCGTCCCTCGGCAGGCAATGGCTAACCTCCGAGTGTATTTCTGCCATGAAAAACAGCTTCTCATAAAAATACAATCGCCGTTCGGAGTCGGCGTAAAACTGTAGGTCCCTCCGCTTTGTGTGACAACATCAAGGCGCACGCCACAAGTCGGAGGAGAAGCTCGGCCAAACACTAACATATGTGTAAGCGCCAATCTATTATTATTATTATTATACTTGTAAATATGTTTTGAATAAAAAATTTTGGTTTCTTCAAAAGAATTCGATTGCCTATTATTTGTTATTCATTTTATAATTTTTGCACCTTTATTGGAGGGCTTGTTTTGAATTTAAATAAAGACTTTAGAGTCGACCTGAAAATAACCATTTGTTCTCTGACCTCACCCTTAATAAACAATAGTCTGTGAGGCCTGTTAGGCTGATACAAATGTGATGAAATGTGTTGGAAGTCTGCGAAGAGAACTAGCTTTTGCCTGGTTGGAAACTTGTGTGTCTGCTAACAGCAGTAAGTGGCAACATTATATTTACAAAATAGTACTAAAAGTCAAATGCCACAGTATAGTACGCCACCATTACCTTTATGGAGCAGACTATATAATGTTGAGTTTCCTGAAGCTGAATGCTGGATAAATTCCCAAACTGAACCCGGGCTCTAACATTGTCGAATCTTTACTGATGCCAACTCTGGGTCAGGATCTGCGGTATTTATCGAAGATAATTGGGAGAAGCTCGGCCATACACTAACATATGTGTAAGCGCCAGTCTATTATTATTATTATTATTATTCCTCTTTCACCCCAAAAAATTTTTTAAAAATTAAGTAAAGTTCCGAAAAAATTCCCAAATTTCATAAAAAAAACACTGCAAACTACAACACGAAGCATCCCGAACAAATCTAAAAAAATCCGAAGGAAATTTTAAAATTTCAAAAAATGTCGAAATTGACGAATAGTTGCAATATTTTGTCAATTTCTTAAATTAGCAAGTAATTTTTAAGAAAACAAGTAATTTTTAAGCGAAAACGGAAAAACCGACTTCAATCCCATATAAAAATTTAAGTTTATCGTTAGTTTCTTCACGATCCAATTATCGGATCTAAAAGAATTATCAAAATCGGTTAATTTGCTCCAAAGTTATGCGGTAACATACATAAAAATAAAAAATAAAATAAAAAAATATATCGACGAACTGATAACCTTCGCCTGTTTGTGAAGTCGGTTAAAAACACATCCAAATTCAATTCTCATATACAAATTTTGGAGTACCGTTAATTTCTTCATGATGAAATGATCTGACCTAAACGAAATTAGTATGGAGACACTACCTCTCCGCTAGAAATTATCGAAATCGGTTGACGTGGTCCAAAGTTATGCAGTAACTTACCAAAAAAAAATAATAATTCCGACGAAATTATAAACTTTTCCTTTTTTGCGGTCGGTTAAAAAAAAAATAAGTTACCAATTTTAGTTTCTTTTCCTGAATAATTCGTTGAAGTCGTGTAATGTAATAAATTCCTATTGGATGTCCAATCTGGGCCTGGAATTGTCAAAAAAAAAACAGACCAATTTAAGATGAAAAGTGGAAAGTTTTTCTAATTTCACGCATAAAACTTTATTCAAAAGAGCTCAAGGAAATATATATGTATGCATATAAAATATGATTTTTATCAACTTAAAAGCTAAATGGAAGACAGTGATTTATAAACAAAATTAAAGCTTTCTTAAAATCATCGATGCTTTGTCGCAGGCCAGTCCACAAACGTAGATCAATTAAGGGCTTTAAATCGCATCGACGATCGATGGTTGGCAGTTCGACTGCATCACACGCGTACGCACGCACGTCTGTACAAACTATTAAAGCTGTGACAATGTAAAGCGTAACTCGTAGCAGTGTAAGTGGTACGGTTTAAGGACGAACCAGGTCCTTCAAGGCACTAGCGGCTTGCCAGTAGGATGCGCGTAGCATCCATTAAGACCACGAAGATGATGAAGTGCATATTCCGATGCCACTACTCAGCCGAAATCGCCTCGCTTTCTGCCGACTCCAGCTCAGCCAACTCATTTAGGCCATTCTCATACTCTTCAGCGCTGAGTGTTGAGCATGTGGTCAATACGCTATCGTTGAGATCGGTTGATGCTTCAGCTTTGTGACTGTGCTGCTTCTCCGCAGCTTCCAAATGCCCCTGCGCTGTGATTCGCTTCTCTGCAGTAATGATTAGCTTGCCCGTTGTGGATGGTTTGAAAACACGGCGCAATAGCTTGTAAGCTTTCTTCAGCGCCTTGCCTGGCGTGTAGTTTGGCTTGCTCACAGGTTGCTCGGCCAAACCGCTGGCATTGCAAGTGTTCAGCAGTGCAGTGTAGGACATGTTTTTTTATATTTTAAGATGTAAACGATGTTAAACAAAAAACAAGAGTTTAGACTTTTAGCTCGATTTGTAGTTACTCGCTCAAATGCAATGCTACGAATGATGTACTGGCACTCGACACGCTGGCTATTTATACGTTTGCGCATGCGTAAAACAACCCTTGTTGTAGAAATTGTAGTGAGCACAAGAGAGTTACATGCAAACTGCACAGTTCGTGTTTTTTTTTGCATTCCCTTGTTAGTGTAATTTGAGAATTTTATGGAACAGTCATAGCCGTTTTTTTTTATTTTATAATTGGCAATTTTATGCACATGAAAACATGTTGAGAGATATTTCGTACAAATATATGTACATATGTATGTACATGTAAAGATTTGAATTTTTTTATATTCAATACAAATATTTGTTAAAATTAGATGCCTTCTATTGGCTGCTTTTATTTTCCTTGATTTCATTTCATTATAAGATTTCATAAATTTCGCTCCATCTTATCGGCACCATATTGAATACACTTAAGAATCTCATTTTTCATAAAAAAATGAAGTCGCAAAATTAAAAAAAAAAAAAATTAATAATAATTCAGTTTTTGATAAAATTTGATACAGTTTCGAATGAATAACTTAGATTTTGGTATGCAATTTTCATTTTGAAGTTATTCAAATTTTGATAAAGAAAATGCATTAAAAATTTATCGAAAATTTACATTCTAATTCAATTTTCTGAACATTTTTGCCCAGTTTTTGAAAACCATGAAGCAGATCTCTCAAACGTGAAAACAACTCGACGCGAGAATTTCTTTTCAAGCAAAACTGAAATATGAGAAATACTTTCAACAGTGTCCAGGTCACGAATATCCGGCCTAAAGCTTTTTGAAGAAAGAGAAGTTTGAATGAAAGACTGTTTGCAGATACCTTGGAAGGAAAATCTGAGTTTTTCAAGTTTAGATGACAAGTGCATTAAGAAGTTATCAAAAATTTTATTAAAAATATCAGCTATTAAATTTGTTTTAAATAGATCTATATGTAGAGTTTCGCCTGTAACAAGAGCACCTAAAAAGTTTTATTAGGAAAAACGTTCTTCCCGCACATGTAAAATTCGAAATTTTGTACGATTATAAATAAATATGTTTACATTTAAAAAAAGGAAATACATTTTTTCTTAAAAAAAAAATTACAAAAATTCAAAAGGTAAAAAACTTAAAGATTTTTTTTTTCTTTTTAAAAGGGCATCTTCTACATGATTTGAATTTAATATTTCTTGAAAAAATCGTTCATCTCATGGTCGCGGAGTGGCTCTTCAGCTTTCAAAAGTTCCATTAAGTTAACTCGAGGTTCAGTGTCAGTTTTGTAAACTTTATCAAAATTACACTTGTTGTAGCACTTCGCAAGAATATTTAAGCTTTCGTTGTTTAGAAGCTAGACTATCTGTACTATTATTCGACCGTTTTCCCCCTATAGAGCACTCTCGAATAAGGCGTAGATATGGCTGGGTCATAGTCTTGGAGCATCTCCAACATCTCCACGGTCTTCGCTGGGTCCGATGACACCAAATTTCTCTCCCTAGGTTATTGTAGGATTGTTTTTTCTCAACATCCTGCACTCGAGGTCGTGGTAGACTTTTACTGCTTACTATGGTAATAGGCAGAATGATTGGTGCGCCAGCTGAAATACCTTGATGTTATAATAGATGACAGAATCAGCTCTGGACCGCATTTGGAATATGTAACACAAAAAGTAGCAAAGATTTATGGGGCAATTTCATAAATGCTGCCAAGCATTGATGGACCCCGAACCGGAAACCGTATGCTCCTGGAAATTGTAGTAACTTTTCTATTGCAGGGTAAAATCACACCATCGTCTTTATGAGGCTCTGTGCGCTAAGAGTCATATGCACTTACAAACCTACGTCAGACGGAGCTGCATTAGTTATCGCAAGGATGACACCTATCGAGAGTTCATCGATATGACCCTTCACACGAAATTGAGCAAACTTCCACATATCGCAGTTTCTCATACGCCATGGCCGTAAATTTTTACAATGCGAAGCTGGTGGACGACTTTTCAGTATGTGCAAGGTGTCAAGAGGTGGAAGACGTGGAATACGTCATGTTTGTCTTTCCATGTTTTGAAGAAAATTGAGTTGGTTATTAATGTGGGTTTTATACCTTATTTAAAGGCAATACAGAGGACTGTTCCAAGTTGATGCAACTTTTTAATGGACTGCATCAAGATTGCGACGAGTCCTCTCGACGAAATACTTCCCGGCAATACCGAGGGGAATTGGTACTTAGACGGTAGAAGGTCTAGTTCGGGTTAAAGGCCCACACTGCCGAACTGTGGCTTTGATGCTTCCTTCTCGTACAAAAAAAAAATATGTGCAATTCCTGTAGCAGATAACACCAAAGTCCTAAACTTTATTCACTCCTTTGTTAAGTTATTTCAAGTGCAGACAAATTCTTTTTTTTTTGCCCCTTGATTTTGTTGCCTACCCATGGTTGCCAAAACGAAGGATATTTTAACTGGAACCACGCGAACTGGCCATAGATTTTGCAGAGAATTCGCTCTCTCAAAAACCTTCTGATCCTTCTCATCTCTGTTCGACATCGTCCATATTTCTGCGCCATATTAAAGGACGAGCCGTATGAGATATTTGAGGAGCGCAATTTTTGTTCGTTACAAAAGAGCTATACTTTTCAATTGCCGTTTGAGCCCATAGTAGCACCTGTTGGCAAGAGTTTTTCCTCATATGATCCCCAGACTAGCATCATAGTTGATGTTAATGCCGGATCCTGCTTCCAGCATCCACACACACAAGTAGACACAAGAGAGTGAGCCTATGTTCAAGTAGTCTCAAACGGTTCGGGGAGGTCATTCCCCAATTCGGACAGAGCTATAAGTTGTGCACAAAGGCAATCTACATGTGCGTGTAATTTTTACAGAGATTTTAAAATTAGATATGGCGAAAACTCGTTGGTGTAGCTTCGAAAGTTTCTTTTTAATTGTTGATGCTTCCGATGAAGAAGGCAGAAGGCCGAAACCGTTTTGTCTCCAAACCAAAATTGTTAACGGTTGACGGAAATTCGTTCCAAAATACATCATAGTACTTCCAAAGTCCCACTTTTTTTCAAAAATAAAAACGAGTAGCGATTTTCATTAAAGGGAATGCGACAAAGCGAAACAAAACTACAACATTTAATTGGGTAATAAAGTTGTGCAAATAAATACGATAAAATGTCAGCCGGCATCGCTAAAATAAAGCAACACCAAAGGCCATGTATGGTTGAGCATGATTAAGCGCCCAGTAGTACATATGTATGCAGCTTAGGTTTTTTTTCTCCAAAATTCGGGCAAAAGTCATTAAGTATGACAACACCAGAATGTGTTAAAATCTTCAAAGCAACAAAGTGAAAAAATAAACCCTTTTAACGATGTTAAAGAAGTACAAATTCATATGTATAAACTACACACATATGTATGTATGTGCATTAGAGTGCCTCACCAAAAAAAAAGTTGCTGTTTTACCATCGGAATTATAAAATTTAAAGACTTCCGCCAAATATTTGGGATAAATATTAAAATTTACGTGAGCTGGACAGATTTTAAAATACCTATAAATTTTTTTTTTTTTTACAAATGAAAATGGTTTTTAATTTTGCAAATTTTTTTACCAAAAATCGCCTAAAAATTTTTAAAAACTTTATCAACAGAATCAAAATAATGAGAGTATTTTCAGATCGGTCCAGTTCACGTAAATCTAAATACGTTCCGAAATATTTTGGCGGAAGTCTTAGAATATAACACATTTAATAATTTCGGTGGAAAACCCGCAACCTTTTGTGGTGAGGCACCCTAATGTACGTATAAGTATAATAAAATATGTACGCTATGATATTTACGCTTCCAACTAAAATGCTGCAGCAACCCCTAATTTGTAGGCAACAACCAGAAAAAAGCAATGAAAACAATTTAAAAATAAACTTAAAAGTAAAATCCAGCCAACATCACAGGCAGCACAGCTCCAAAAAAAAAAGTATCCCGTGTCTGTATAGAGATAAATTACCGCTCCTTTAACCGCTCCCTTACCATATTATTTTAAATTTTGTTTGTTTCTTGTATTTTTTTCATACGTGCTCAATAAATACGTAACCTGTTATTTTGATTTCTCGCTTCTGATGCTCTTTCGCATTTTTATATTTTTTGTTTTTTGTAGTTCACTTGTTTTTATTTTACTTTTTCCCATTTTTATGTCATTTACGTGCCTTTCGACGATTTCTTCCCTGCTATGCCGCTGCAAGGCTTCCTTGCGGCGAATCCTTTTCTTCTTGCCTGGCACGTTAATAAATTTCGCAAAATTTCAAAACAGGTCTGATATTCTTGAAACGCAAAATAGGGTAAAAAGTGAATTTCAATTTAAAAAAAGACGAATGTTTTCGACATTTGTGTGTGTTGGTACTCTTATAAGAAATTGCACTGATGTTAATGGGGTAGCCAGATTTGCGGTCAAGTTAATATGATGCGCTGCGTACACTGGGAAAAATTTTTCAGAAGTGTTTAATGAGAGTTATCGTCTTTTTTTAGTAGTTGCAACCAGCCTGGCTATAAAATTTTAAAATCACATCAACTATGGATTATATCTATTCATCTAACCCCCAGTCGAGTGCAGAAATATTTTTTATTGATCTCGCAGCCAAATATAAAACTAAAACTACCAGGTTAGAGACACATACCAGTTGACTTCGTAGCAGATGATTGGCAAGAGTTTTCACATCACTTACGGCCTTAAAATATCTTCTAGGGTGCTAGCGATATCTGGTAAATTAAAGCTTAGTGCATATTGCATTGAACTGGCAAAAAGAAAAGATTAGTAGACGATCCACTCCTACCAAGACCGAGATGGCGCTCTCCACGAGGAAACATAAAATTCCTCTCTTCCAACCACCCTCATTAAACGGGGTATAAATTCTCTATCAACCAATGTAAAGTACCTGGCGTTTATTCTAGACAGGAAACTCGACTGTTACCAAAGCATTGAAGATCGCTCCGGAAAATCTATTACCGCACGGTACGCCTGTAAGATGGCTACGGGTAAAGAGGGGGAAAAAATACTACATATATGTACACAACTGTGACAAGACTCATTCTCACCTACGTGGGCATCGTGTGGTGGCCGGCGTTTAATAATTCGCTATCCATAGCCAAGCTGGAACGGACACAGTTAGGGGATTCACAAGACGTGTTAACGTCGTAAAATTTTAAGCCTATTTTTTTTTATATATAAAATTACCGTTAAAATGCTTTTAGAGGATTTATAACTACACCGAAATGTTTTTAATTCGATAAAAATATCTAATTAGCCCCCCTAAAACCATTTTAACTGTTATTTTACATAAAAAAAATGTTAAGCTTAAGATTTTACGACGGTTAACACGTCTTGTGAATCCCCTAAGTGTATATGCTCCACATGTTGCTAGGCTAAATGCGATCGCGAGGTGAAGACTATATTATACAACTGCTCTACTCTGTTTAGACAACTAATTACCCATAAGAAGCCCAGAAAGGAACGGATGGTAAAGTGCCACAGACCTAGGTTCAAAGTCGATGGCTATCTGCATATATACAGAGATGGTTCCAAGCTAAATGAAATAGTAGACAGTGGGATTCACTGCAATGAACTCGCAGTAAACCTCCGTCTTCGCTTACCGGCCGCCAATATGGAGGCCACTCGGTGTGTAACAGCTCTCGCACTTCAAGAACGGTCTATCACTGTATATTCTGACAGCCAGGCTGCCTTAAATCTCTAACAACGTTAAAAGTAGGCATCTTAATGTTCCTGGGGCGAAGAGACTTTTCCGGTAACTGCATAGCCGATGATTTGGCATAGAAAGAAACGGAAATGTTCGTGATCAATTCGAGTCGGGACGTGCACACACCCTAAACACCAGGTGGACCATTGATCCCTCCCCTCCTACCAGACTATCAGGCAAAATTAGCCAAAATTAATAAAAAGCGATCTGAAGCTCTCACTCGGCTTGAGCGCTCTTCTCTCAGATTGGTAGTCGTAGTACTAACCGGGCACTACCACATGGGCACGCATGGAAAGAGGTTGGAATATTCAATTATTTACTTATGTCGCAGCTGCACTGACGAGGAAGAAGTGCTGACAATCGAACACTATCGCTACCACGGCGCAACCAATCTATCAAAAAGTACTTTATAGATTGCTTAGCCGACTTGAATTCAGCGGTGATTTAATTTCAGAAGCAAGTAAATAAATGGGTGCCACCAGTGGTATCACAATGGGCTTTTCCAGCCTACTTGTGCCTCTATGTACTTGCATGGAAGCAGCGACTATAGCCTAACCAACTTGTAGAATGTCTGAAAACATCTGGCTCAGAGAGTGTTCAAGAGTACTCATAGCACTTCTTGCGATTGATTGTATCAAACGCCTTTAACGAATCAAATGCTACAAAGAAAGTTTCTTTCACACGTTCTATGGCGCTAAGTTCTGTGGTGCTACCTTACATTTTACGAGTCTTGTTGGTGCGTTGATGGGGTCAGTAGGTGTGTTAAGGTCGGGTGGAACAAGATCTCAGGAGTTTTCACTGCTGTGGTAAGAAGAGATATCAATCGATAAAACTGCCCTGTGTTGGGCATAGGCATGATTTGAGTGACCAGTGACAAATTGATGAGTTCGTCAGAGCTCTTAGAGTAAACCAGAGCTTGGTAACACGAGCAGCGAAAATGCAGACATTTAGTTGTTCCTCCCAATCCCCCAGCATACCAAATTGGGATTCATAAACCAGGTATCGATTTGTTGCAAGTAATCGGTAGCTAAAGCAGCTATTTTAGCTGGGAAGTTGAAGAGGGGCTTAGCGTAAAACTGTTTAGACGCTCGCTTGAAGCTTCAGAATTTCACACAATGATTTTCATAAAAGCTGTAGGAGTAGAAGAAACACTGAAACACTTTAATTGCGAACGTCTGGCGCTTTGGAATACCTTTGGGGGAAGGCATGGTAACTCATAGGTTTCGAAAATGTAGAAAATCAAAGGGTTTCGGCTACTCAAGCTACTCAATGTGCCATCACAAAGAAGCTCACCAAAGAAGTTGGTCTAAGATAAACCGATGGTCGGTGAACTAACGGAACAAGTGCCTTATTTTAGATTGATTTCATTTGTTGCGACAAGGTCAATTTTATTGAAAGTGATTGGGCGTTTTGCACCTCAGAAAGAAAGAGAGAAACTCTTTCATGCAGGGAAGACTCGCATGAAAGAGCTTCTAGAATTTAAAAATACATAAATATAAAGACAAATTCTATACTTTTTAAGACCAACGCAGCAACAAAGATCAATTTTCGAACTTACCTAGTCAATAAATGTTAATTTCGTTCAGTGTGCGCCTATCAGTCAGTGCAACGTTTAAAATTCATGCAAGAGCCAAATTAACCCAAAACTAAAGATGAAAATAAAAATAAAGTAAACAAAAAAAAAACATGAAGAAGCACTTGTGAGAGAAGCCAGCTAAACGGCAACATATGGCAGCGATATTAATTTACAAAACAACAACAATACCAATAACGAGAAGTAGTCTCAACGACATCAGCATCAATAAAAATAAATGAATAACAACAGCGAAGGAGCGAACCAAAGCACCGAAGAGAGCAGCAAGGATCTTGCGTAGCTGTACCGCAGCAGCAGCAGCATAGGATCAAATTAAGAAGGACCGCAACAAAAGGCAACAGCAATTTGATTTAATAGCAGCGAAATAACGTTCCCACGCTACGAACGAGCCAGCGAGCATGAGCTGTCTTGGCAGATATCAGCAGAGGAGTTGACTCATCGCCATCAACAGCACAGCAGCATCTTCCCATCAGCAGGATAATAATAGCGCCGAGTCACGTAAAATACGTTTGTTGGCAAGTAGGACACGTCTTCAACGGCCAGGAGTGCGTAAAGAAAAAGCATACAAAAAAAAATGGCAAACTAAGAGAAACTTTACCTTTTTTCTTTTATTTATACACAATATTTTTTTCTTAACAAAACAAGCAAAGAGTTTCTCACGCTCCTCCGTACGCATGTACATACATACGTGTTATTTTGCAAAGGACCTGCTTGCAGGTAACTTTCAAAACACTAAAGATCCCTAATTTTTATTATTTGCTGATCCTTGTGAGAGCGCAATCATGCACGTGCAACGCACCGACGCTCAGTTGCACAGAACGGAAAGTATCCCATTGCAGCAGCAGCACAGTGTTGTGTGATGCTTGGGAATTTTTCTTGGCGCGCACCTGCCGCTCAAACAGCGATGCTGATTGGCTGAGATGCTGTTTACGCACCGACGCTCTCATTTCTTACACCTCAACGCAGGCGAAGAAACTATAAGAAGCTGTGTAGGAGCGGTGAGAGATAACATTCTCGTTTGAGCAACGCAAGTGGCAACAACTTTCAAGAAGAAAGGAAAGGAATTGAAGTCATCGCGCAATTGGAAGATCAATAAAATTGGTTCAATAACTCATCAATCAATCAACAACCAAACATGTCTACCGCCATTGCCAACAAGTTAATGCAACAACAGGACTGCAACAATAATTGCAACAAGAATTCAAGCTACTATACCAATCAACACACTTCACTCCTTCAGCAACACTGGTCCAATGTGCAGCAGAAATCCAAAGTTTCACCCTCGCGCCGCCTGAAGAATCTGCTGAAACCTCTACTGGGTGGTGTCTTCAAATCACGCACGAAACGCCAACAAAACCGCAATTCATATAT